CCTCAGGCCACCGAAGCAAAGCACGTGAACTTAACCGCTATGCCATCAGGCTGACCCCCCAAATTGTTCTTATTTTTAATTAGTCAAATTTATCCATCTTTCTTTTCACTGCATCTGGATATATATTTGCATAGTTATAGTTGTATGTAGTAATAATTACAGTATGTATATACTATAACTATAGTACATTATATATTATAGTGTATGTATATTTGTATATATATAGTTATAATATCTATACACTATAACAATAGTGTATGTACATATATATAGATATAGCTATATGTAAATAGAGACAGATAGATATGCACACACATATTATGTATATATATAGTTAAGGAAATAATCCATTTTCTCAAGAGTTTTTATTAAGAATGGGTTTTCAATTTTCAAGCATCTGTGGAGATTAATCCTATGCTTTTCCTCCTAAACTCTATTTATGTGGTGAATTATATTAAGAGATTTTCTGTTATTGAACCTTCCCTGCAATCCTGGTATAATCCTTAGGTAAGGTTTTCAAGTCCTATCACTATGTCTCAGATATCAGGGTCTCTGCTGCAGTGGCTTTGCCTCTACTGACAGCCCGCTGACTGAAACCTTTTAAAAATATTTCTCATACTGTCCCTGAAATGACATCCTCTTCTTTAGTCTTTTCTCTCCTTTGTACCTACTTTTATATCACATTGTACTGTATTTCTTTGTTTAAATGTCTAGCTCTCCCATTAAACTCTGCACTCACTGAAGGCATGGAGTGGTTCTTAGATATTTTAATGTAAGTTTCTTTAGTGTGGAATCTATAAACCCTAAACTGGCCATCCAAAAGAGATACTCAGGAGTAGAGCTTGTCATACATCCATTAACTAGCCACTGAAATTCAAATAAATTCCCATTTATAATTATGTCACAGTAAGATCTATTAGGCAACAAAACATGTCTCTTTGAATCAGTGCAACAGCTTTATGTATGAGAAAAATCCAATGCAACCCAATTACCTATAAGAGTGAAATTAGGCTGATCCCAAGCTAGTGGTATAAAAATGGTTTTACCATACGTGGATTCTCAAATCCCCATTTCTCTTCCCTTTAGCATGACAGATATTTATGTCTTGAAGGGATAAAGTGCAGAATAGAGAGGTTAACTCTTGTACATGGTTCTCAGCTAACCAGGTCCACCATCAAATTTCTCTTCACAATTGACGTGACTGTTGTTCCATCCCCTCCACCCTGACTTCCCAGCACTCTTGAGTGATAGCTGAACAGTATAATACTGTCATTGGTTTTAGTTGGTGGTCTGACTTCTTTGGACAGTAAATGGGGTGTTGTCTGACAGAACTCAGGGCACACATGCATGTGTTTCTGGCATTTACAAGGGTGGCTGCATGTGGCCCCATCCATGTTCTCTTCTTTCTGTGATCTTGGATTTGTTACACTTCCCCTTTATTCTCCTCAGTGTCCCTCCCTATAATCACAATCTCACTGAGACTTTGAGAAAACAGTAAGAGGATGAGTGAGCAGACCAGGCAAAGAATATAACAGAGGTTGGAAGGATACAAAGATGCTAGCTGGGGAGAAAAATTCCAATCCTATTATTCCCATTTCTATGTTAATTTGTACCCAACTCATGTCCAGACCCATCACAGAAGCACTAGACAAGGTTTAAGAGGAATTTCAAAGGGTTCCTTGTCCCTGACTTTGCCTAATGTCATATTCTCCTGCTCCATGGTCATGCCTTTCTGGCTGCAGCATGGAGCCCTGTTAGTAACCACAGATTCCAGAAAAAAGCCCCTTTGCAGGAGCTGGGAAAACAAAATGCCCTGTTCCCACCATCTCACCATGTGTTTCTGGCTGGAACATCAGCCCATATCTGCCAGTTAGTGTTTTCTTCTCCGAGGGTGGTGATGTTCACTCACCATTTCAGCTGTCTTGTCTGGACACTCAAGCTGCAGCTGACTGACATAGCCATGATTGCTGTTGTCAAAAACTCAGGCTATGTATGTCAGCCCTCAGAGAACAATGTTTCTGTATTTCTGCAGATTCAACCTTCAGGTTTAAGCCAAAGCCCCACTCTCCTAAACTCCAGTGCCAAGAAGGCTGTCTTCCAGAACCTCTTCTCCTGCTCAGAGCCTCTGAGACAATGTCCTTTTCAATATCTCTTGCGTTGGTCAGTTTCTCTAAACTTTCTAGTTTCTCATCTTGATTATTCTGCTTTCTCTTTTCATTATCTAGTCATTTTTTTTTCACACTTTCTTTGCCATCCCACCCTCAGGGGTCAATTATTTCTACTTTTCTGTTTTCTGTCAAAAATTTTTGGAATATAATACTTGGGCATTAAAAAAATCAATATTTACTTAAATGCACACAAAACAGCTCTTGTCTATAATAAAAGGAGATACCAAAGCAATTAAATATCATGATATAATGGAGATTGATCACACTCTGAACTGGAAATCAGAGATCTGGGTCATCATTTTGGCTCTACCACTTCTAATTATGTGACCTTGGGCAAGTCGATTTCACAGAGCCTCTAGCTTCTTATTTGTAATATGACCTCTAATGCCTATCCTGGTCAAACGTTTTATGATTTTAAAGACCTACAATGCAAAATTAATTGGTCAAGGCATCCATATGTTTTTCAGTTAAAACAAAACTTATGCTGAATCAAAGGAAAGACATTTCATCTGTTACCCTAGGCATTTGCATACAAGCTAAAATATACCTATCTCTGGACTTACGTATATAGGTTAACTACTGCTGCAATAACGCTGTGTAACAATCACACAATTTCAGTGGCATACAACAATATTTAATTTATGCAGCTTTGAAGTAGACTGGAGGCTGGCTGATCTAGATTGGGCCTGGCTTGGGTGGTTCTGCTCCGCTCCATGAGTCTCCCATCTTCTTCTCAGAGCTAACAGCCATCCTGAAAATGTTCTTTTTATGGTAATGGCAGACAACAAGAGAGTGAGTCCAATCATACAAGCACCTTTCAAGCCTTGGGTTAGTCACGCCTATGGTATTCCATTGTCCAACACAAATCACACGGCCAAACCCAAAGTCAAGGGGTGCTCACGATGCAGGTGGTCATTTGAATTAAATGGAGGAGGTCAAGATCAGGGCACTTCCTGAAAAGCATCTAGAGCCCCTCTATTTTGCAGGTCTTGAAAAATTCCTCTGAACTACTGAATGAGATCCCTCCACGGATAAGCTCATTTTATCCAAGTTGGAGATGAATTTGCAAATGCTGACCAGAACTTATTTATACAACCAAAAGAGGGTACTTCAAAGAGGAATTAATACAAGAACACGGGGTCACATGACAGATTAAAAAATTACATGACTGGGGCCGGCCTGGTGGCTTAGCGGTTAAGTGCGTGCACTCCTCTGCTGGCGGCCCGGGTTCGGATCCCGGGCGTGCACCGACGCACCGCTTCTCTGGCCATGCTGAGGCCGTGTCCCACATACAGCAACTAGAAGGATGTGCAGCTATGACATACAACTATCTACTGGGGCTTTGGGGGAAAAAAGGAGAATGATTGGCAATAGATGTTAGCTCAGAGCCGGTCTTCCTCAGCAAAAAGAGGAGGATTAGCATGGATGTTAGCTCAGGGCTGATCTTCCTCACAAAAAAATAAATAAATAAATAAAAATTTAAAAAAAAATTACATGACTTATGCTGTACTGTAAAACTGTCCATCCTTTTACTGAAACGATCTAAACATCCTCTAAATCTGCCACTTGTTATCCCAAAACCTCAGCTTATATTCACATCTCCTAAAGAAACAATAAAATAAAGCCACAGTGATTTTTATATAAATTATTGATGATTAAGTTGTATTAAATTAAAAGGACATGAAGCAACAGTTGTATATATATGAAGTTAGTCTTATTTCTTAAGAACTAATGAGGAATTGAGGGTAATTAAGGCAGGCAAACATTAGTTCATTTTCCCATTTATTGAGCTGTACTAGTTATCTATTACTATGTAACAAATTATACCCCAACTCAGCGGTGTGAAACAATAAGTATTTCTTATCTCACACAGTGTCTGTGGGTCAGGATTTCAGAAGAGGCTTAGCTGGGTGGTTCTGGCTTTCATGAGGTCCCAGTGTAAAGATCAACTGAGGTTGCAGTTATCTGAAGACTTGATTGGAGGCTGGAGGATATGCTTCACGATGGCTCACTCACATGGCTGGCTAACTGATGCCTCAGTTCCTGGACAGGATGAGCTCTCAATAGTCTTGACTGAGTGTCCTCACAGCATGGCAACTGGCTTCCCTCCAAAGCGAATGACCAAAGAGAGATCAAGGCAGAAGCTACAATGTATTTTATGACCTAGCCTTGGAAGTCACACTCAGGTCATTTCTGCAGTATCTTATTGGTTATACCAGGCCTGGGACTGGTATTCACTCTCAAGATTATGCAAATGCATGATGCTGAGTGTGAATATCTGCTTAAATTTTACACCCTCGGTGCCTCACTTGCTTTACCCTAGTCCTGGCCAGTTACACAAGTCAGCTGTATGTAGTGTTGGAGGGGACTATATAAGGGTGTGAATAGCAGAAGGCAAGAATCATGGGGGCCATCTTGGAGGCTGGGCACCACAAGAGTTAAGCACTTTGGTGCCAAGATTCTGATCAATAAGAAGGGACTCCCACTGATTCAGCAGTTCTCAACTTTGGTGGAACACTTGAATCATTGCGGAGAGCTTATGCCTGGGCCTCACTCCACAGAGATTCTGATTTAATTGGCTTAGAGTGGGACAGCCAGAGTGTTTAAAAAAAACTCTCCAAGTTATTCTCATGTGTAGTCAGGAATAAGCACAGTGCAAATGAACTAAAGGTTCCTTTTGAGACTAAAGTGCACACAGAATTTGCCTATCATATCTGTCAGCAACATCTGTTCTTCCTTTTTAAGGCAGGGGTGTGGGGAGGCTGAGGCCACAAGGGGTATCAGTAATTTATTCACTTATGAACTATTGCTGAAAACAGAGCAGGGCTTTGCTGAATACAGAGCAGGGCTGGCTGACTAGGTTTCTTCTCCATCACCTACATGCTCTGTTTGAACTGGTTTGTAAAATATTGGTAGGAGCAGGATTAATTCATCAACACTAGTCTGATTTGAGGCTCTTTTATCTGTTTCAAAATAGGCAGACTGAATGAACAGGAAAGTCCCCAGGTGAAAAAGAGAATAATGGGAATTAAATGAGTTTGATTGGGGTGAGGCTGCCTGTTTGCTTATATAACAGCTTGGTAATAGTTTGATGCACGCATGCACATGTGCACACTCATGCACACACACATACGTGTGCACAAAGGTAAAGCTGAGAATGAAACTACTCTTAGCTCATATAACTTTAGAGGCCAGCGCAGAGTTGTACCTACTAGGCTACTTGGTTGTTAGCTAGTCACCTCTGATCCCTCCTCATCCCGTGGGGGAAGAGCCTGGGTGAACATGGGAGGAAGGGTGAAGGAGGATTGGAACCAGGGTTCTTGTGCAAGGTATTCTGTTTTCCTCCGGTGAAAACAAACAACAGAATTTCAGTTGGAAGACTAATTGCATTTTCCCATTATTTGGAACTCTTGCTAGGACTTTTGCATTTTCATCTTCTTGTAATTTTCCTAGGGAAGGCAATAAACCTCAGAGATTATCATAATTTTGGCAAATAGTTTAGAACGTTGGCAGATGCCCAAAGAGAAGAGGATCTGGCGTGGACATGTGCTTGAAATCATTGTCATCACCTCAATCAGAGAATTAAAATGAAAAATAAAAACACTGCAAGTATTTTTTTAATGACAGCAGCCTAATTTGTACTTCTTACATAAGCAAGAAAATCCCTACAGATTGCACTGGGTGTGAGCATGACACATCCGCCCACTCTTGTTTAAATTTCAAGCATATGCTGATGAAAGAGGGCGAGTTGCTGGGAATACAGGTCATTCAATTCTGACACTCATTTCTGCTGCAGTAGAGACTTGGCTAGAGGGCGATTATATTAATACAGTACGATAGCTACCTTCTCAATAGGATTCTAGCAGAGTCTTGCTGTATGGCAAAGTCGCAAAGGACTAGAGTGTATCCATCTCATGACAAGGCAGATCACTTCCAATGGACTCTTGAATGCAAATGTACTTGATGGGAGGTGGCGGTGGCTTGAAAGGTGGGGGTCTTTCCATGCTAGGAACAAAGCATTGCTCTTTCAATGCTAAGAATGTGAGAGGGTGATTGAAAGATATATACAAAATATTTTTTTAAAGTAGGAAACAGAGAAAGAGAAAGAGACATGCCCCACTAGTTCTCTCAATTTTTTCCTGGCATAATCTTCTGCTTGTTAGTACTACCAGCCATTTGGACATTGTGATAATATCACTAATTAATATTTATAAGGTATTTTATAGTTAGCAAAGCATTTTTATCATAACATTATTTAATTTGTATCTAGGAATTGGATATTACTGTCACCATTTTACAGATAAAACTGAGGCTCAGAGATTTTAAGCAACTTGCTCAAGAGAACCAGACCAGCAATTCAAGTCTTGTAACCAGAACCTATACTGTCCACAGCGACTGCCTCCTAATAGAAGTGTTTCTCTTATGTGAGTTAAAACATTCCTCCAGAGACAAAATTTTAAAATTATTGGACTAAAGACTGAAGCTTTCGAAATAGTCCCTTTGCTAACCTTACTCCCAGCCTTCACCCACACACTCATTGTGCACTGTGAGGAATGGTTGAGATGGGAAGTACAGCTCTCCTGAATCCCTGAGTTGATTGGTACTGCATGGGTAATGCCAGAATCCCTGCTGTTTGAATCAGTGAACATCCTTAAAGTCATCTTTGTATAAAGTACTGTTCTTTGTTAGCACAACTCATCTCTTTGTTTGAAAGGCATCAAGCATACAGGTGAGTGAGGGATTTAGCTGTACAAATGCTCCAGCTCTCTTGATATCAGGAAACAGATAAATCTGTGAGCAGATTTGTGCCCATGACTCAAGCACCTCTACCCCTTGTCTATCAATCCATAACACCTTAATATCTGCAGATAGTGATAGAGATAGAGATAGAGAGAGAGGGAGAGTTTCCTATCTCTGTATAACACAGAAATTTGAATATAGAACAATAAAAAAATTAATTCAGATTTTCAGATTCCCATTTTCTCATTTTAATATAAAAATCTCTAATGCCTATTACCTGGTTTTCTGATGCTTTAATGGCGACTTAATATATATCCAAAGGTAGATAAAATTCTAAGAAATTTGAACTTCCCTTTCTTCAGCGAAATTGTAAATTTCTCAAGATTAATATGGTGGCCAAATTGTAGCCCTGGCACAAGAATCCAGAATTTCTGACTACTGGTTTAGTGTTTTATGCACCATGAAACACTCCCTGCACATGGTTATAGAGTCTTCAAGGATACTCTAAGGAGAGTAGAAGAAGATATCGCACAATGGTCAATGGTATCTTAGATAGCACTGTTAGACATGTGGAAGATCAGCTGCAGGTCTCCTCTGATCATGGCCTAATCGGGACTGATCCAAAATAGCCAAGACAGAAAAGTGAGGCTTAACGTTCCATGCCATTTCAGATTGCTCAGTGGAGGAGAAAGAATTTCGGAAAATATTTCCGTAAGATAAAAAAGGGTAACCCACCGCTTACTTTCTTTTCCCCTTGGGGAAAAAGGAAAAAGGCAGTAAAAGCCCATTATGCTCAAAAGCAGCTGGAAATTTCTTAAAATTACCTTTCTCACTCAATTTCACACTTGAGCCTCTAGGCCCAGCTGGGCCCAGGTAGTTCAGAGATGCATGAAAACGAAAAAATAATGACGATTAAAAGAAAAATCAGTTTCAGTTTTGAAGTGAGGTGAGGCTCAGTTCTCATTTCACGCCCCCTGACTTGTTCCATCTGATGAGCGTTACAGCCTCAACAGGCAGAGGGGGATACCAGGTCAGGAGTTGTGCGTCTAATCCCCACTGAGTGGTGCTGGGAAAGCTACATAGCCTATCTGAGCTTCTGTGAGCCTGATTTCCTCAGTTAAATAGGAGAGGAACTCCATATACAGGAAAAATATTTCAAATGATGAGTAAATATTTTGTACTGAAATGATCTCTTCCTACATATCTTAGTATTATACTCACATTTCTTTTTGGTATTGACACCATTTTCTCACTCCAAGACCAAACACTACCATGCAGGAAGCAAGCAGAACTGCTATAATCACTGGCCAGGACATCCCATCTTTGGGCTTGTTAACCACAATTCCTGAAAATGGCATAAAGAGAGACAAACTTTAATGCCAAACTTTGGCAATTGGAAAACAGGATTAATTGAACTATTTCTCCTACCTAAACCAGGTTTTCTCCAAGGGTCATGGGGTGTTCCTTGACAACAATCAGACTCTAGGATCATATCTCTGCCTTGTCCTTATTCCTGTTTTTGCATTTATGTAATTATTTTCATATATAAATGTCTTTCTTGTTAGAATGTTCCAGAACTGATCTTTTTTTTCTTTCATTTTCCCAAGGCTCTGGACAATTCCTGGTATATGGTGTCCAATGTAATGTTATTTGTAAGAATGAATAAATGAAAATGATAAGCTATAAATTTGTTTTCCAAATTTACTCCAGTAAAGAAAACTTATATGTAAAATAGTGATCTAGCTATGGATTTTCTTATTCTTTAAGGAGCCACCAAATGCTTTATGGAATATTAATATGTCAAGATGAGGAAGAAAGAGTAAAAAGCATTATAACACCCACAGCCCTGAAAGTCCAAAGCCAAGCAGGCCTGGCTAACACGTATGGAGTTGTAGTGCCCAAGAGACTATCAGCCAAGATTTCTCATCTCAGTATCACTCAAGGAATGATATCCAGAGTACCTTTTCTATTGCTTTCCCTCTTTTTCATTCTTTCTTCCCCTATCCATTTCAGCAACAAAAAGGAGAGAAGGGACAAAACAAGTAAAATTGAAACCAGTTGGTTTTGCCCTTTCTATGGCCTGCAAAGGGAGGAAGTTGAAAGAAAAGGGCTGTCTACAATTATATTGGTGGGTGATCAGTGGACTGATTTTTCTTGTCTGTGTTGACAATGCCCATATCAACTCGTTCATTATGCTTCTAGCAGTTTAACACCAAGTCAAATGGTATGAATCAAAGATTTTCAAATTTTGTGGGTTTTAGACCAGAGGAAATATAAATATCATATTTTGGACTGTTTTACTTCTTCTCTAAGACACAGGAAGAATTAAGAAAATTAACTCTCTTAGGAAATAAGATTGCCTGGTTCTACCTGGCAGGGGATGAAAGGGAATGTTTATAATTACATAATTACTTTATGTTTTTCGTTTTAAAAAATATTTTACAATCATGTTAAAAATTCAAATAGTATAGCAATATAAAACTACAATGAAAAGGAAGCTTCCTTACTACCTCAGGCACCAGTTGCTCACATTAGAGTCAATAACTTTTGACAGTTAATTATGTGTCCTACCAGAAATTATCTGTACATATATAAACAAATATAGGCACCATGAATATATATCCCTTTTATTACAAATGGGGGCATACTATACATACTGTTCTGTCCCTGGCTTCTTTCTCTTAACAAACGTTCCTCGGGGCCGGCCCCGTGGCTTAGCGGTTAAGTGCGCGCACTCCGCTACTGGTGGCCCGGGTTTAGATCCTGGGCGCTCACCAACGCACCGCTTCTCCGGTCATACTGAGGCCACATCCCACATACAGCAACTAGAAGGATGTGCAACTATG